ACATTCAGAATGGTACAAATGACCCTCTGGAATCAACTAGACTTTTCAAAATGATGAAGTCATGCTACATTTTAAAAACAATCTGTGATAACTTAGTTATTAAAAGAACAAAATTTTAAAAAGCAATGGATCAGATTAACTTTTTAAAGGACTTTTGATGATGTGTTAGTTTTTCTTCTACAAGCTGCAGTTCCCTTTTAAATTTTCCTTTTAAAATAGTTGCTCCCCTACCCTGAAAATTCTTTTGCAACATGTGTATAGAACCAGTGTCCTCAGTTTGCCCAGGTCACCTTTTCCTCGCGTCTAGGGGCTGAAGCGGGTCTTACATAAAGGGTTTCTGTAGACTGGAGGTTTCAGGGGACAGCAGTGCATTCCGTGCTGACTGCACGCTTCATTTACATACGGCCTAAGTCTGCCCTGCAGTGATCTAGGTGCCCTTCTTGGCTTTGCAGCCTCGGAAAAGAGAAACGGTCTCTGTCAGTCATCATACCCCACATAGAAAATCTCTTGCTCAGAATAAGTGAAATAATTGTCAGGCTTTTATTTAAATAAATTATAATTAACTGTAATTATAATTATTTATAATTATAAACAAATATATTTATTATAAAGAAATTATAATTATTTAAACAAATTACAAAACTATTCGAACTTAGGAAATTATCCAGGCACATAACTCTGAGCTTAATTCTCTGCGTGACTATGAAGAGTAAATATAATGTAGCCTATTGATGATGGGGCTTTCTAAAGTGAACTGCTTGACTGAAACCTGGGTCTTCCCACCAGAGCTTTGAACTATTATACAGAAAAGTTCCCACATGACCTGAGCCACTGTAACCTATCTGACCACGGGAGTCACCTGAGACGTGTGAAGTGTAGCAAGGAGTTAGAGATCATTACCATGTCACGGTGCAGTGTGATACTGTTTATAACACACCTTGCACAATATTGGCTATTTATGTTTACCAGTGACAGGGATCCAAAATGACTCCCAAATTTCTTCCTAAGTTTAAGAAAAGGGGACTGGAGAAAGTCAAGAGAGAGCAGGCATTTTCTTATTTCTGGATTTCCATCTGTAAAAGTAGTGGATGGTCAAATCTTTAAACTTTTTCATTGAAAATGTGGGCAAATTACAACTCCAAATCATACGCACATACACACACACATGCCAATGTTTACATTGTGCTCCGTTAAAGTATATCTCTAAATTATCTTTTAAAAAGAGATGTATCTTAATATATCTTAATTTGGGACTGTTTTATCTAAAGCAGTATCAAGGTACAGTATACTGAATTAGATACATAAGACCTTGTTGTAGTGATTGTGAGTCCCTAGTATTTATAAGCTCTATAAGGGCAGATGTACTATTTACCTTTCTTATGGGTATTCTCTATACACAGTAGGTGATCACAAAGCAAGTATTAAATTAATAGATGAATCAATCAGCCAAATGGGCTTACAAAAGTGAGAAACATATGTGATAAACACGAGGCCCTAAAATGTGCTATCTAGTTAGAAGGTCTCAACCGCCAACTCTGAAATCTGCTGTCTACCTGTGCAAGGCCATGCTTCCCGTGGGCTCTCCTAGCGAGTGGCTGATCACAGCAGACACTCTGAGGTGGGCTTATTCCTGGGCAGAAGAGGACCCATCTGACTGTGGTTCAAGGGCTCCCAAACACTGCTCAGTCTTTCTTAGACTGCAGAGTCCTCTGCCATACTTCTGTCTGATCTTCCCTCCCTGTCTCCCTCACCTGGGAGTCACATGGCTCAGCCGGCCTTGACGACTCCCTCCCCATTTTCTCTTACGTAAATGCTCTCTTAAGAAAGTCTTTGGCAGCCGTTTCTCAGATGGCCTGAGCCAACACAGTAGATAGCTTCAAAATTGTGTAATGCTTTGGAAAAATTAAAGCTCCATTCTTCAACCATCTTGATCTACCTCACTACAAATTAATATATCATACAAGAATACAATAATATACTCTCTAACATTTATAGTCAATTCATGTACTGCACAAAGCAGTCTCCTTTGAATTACAAATGATTAGACCTGCACCAAGATCCACACGTTAGGCGCAGGTGAAATAAATGATCATTTATTCTTTTAGGAGAATGAATTGATTCAGAATATATACTTCACTGCTCAGTTTGTATTTTAATCTCATTTTTCAACATGAGTTATATGCATTTGAATAATATACAACCTGAATAAAAACATTAATGTCCTTAATTCCATACGAATATCCCATGTTCATTTGCAAAAAGGAAAACACATATTAAATGTTGTTCCATTTAGTTAGTGCATTTCTCCTCATGTGATCCAAATCACTTTCCTAATTATGGTAAAATATATGTAACATATGTCGACACACAAAAATATCTTTATCAGTAACTGTCACTGAATTTGAAGATAGCAATATGATTTTTATCAATATTGCACATTTTGATTAGAATTTTCTGTCTTAAACATTTTAGGTTCATGCTGCATTTCAGAACTTGATAAAAGAAAGAGCTCCTGAGATCAGGAGTTGCTTCATTTATTTAACTTTTTTCATTCTTTCTGCTGGAGATTATGGTATATCTTGCAATGAGAATCTACTTAATGTGTCTTCTGTCAGGAAGGCAGTATCACCTCATGGACTCACACACTGATAATATCTAGTGATGTGGAGACTGGTGGGGGGATTCTCCCATACTCTCACTTGCCCGTACTTCTATGAATAGCAACAGCAGTTACGTGCTGGTCAGCGTTTGGAAGACAGAAGAGGGAGCAAAGCTTGACATTCAGCCATGATTTTCAGGCAGGGGATGAGGCTCCACCCTTGGGTGTCCTCAGCCTCCCTTCACTCTGGGTCTGTCTAGAGCTTTCTTTCTCTGCCACCTACCTCTTCTAGGGCTGCAAACATAGGAAAGAGAGCGGACCCATAGATAGGACAAGTTGTGGTTTTGATGTTGTTGCTGTTCATTTGTCTATTTACATTTGTGCCCCTATATTTTTTAATTTTTGAGTTAATGTTTAATAATTGTATATATGGTGTAGAGCATGATTTTTCAATACCTGAGTACCGATCAAATTGGAGTCATTAGTATTTCCATCTCTTCACTCTTCATTTCTTTATGTTTGGGGTCGAGAATCCCCTCTTCTTATTCTTCACAAAAAATATAACAGGTCGGTGTGAATCACAGTCGCCACACTCCAAGTTACTCCTTCTAATGAGCTGTATTTTATGCCTATTATCAGACCTCTCCCACTTGCTTCCCTGCCCCCAAGTCCTTCCTCCTTAAGAGCGAACTTCTGGTGCTTGTCTGTCTGATGTTCACTCATTTCACTTAACATAGTGACCTCCAGTTCTACCCATTTTGCTGCAAAGGACAGGATTTCATTCTTCCTACAATTTCCTTTTGCTTGACTTACTATCCCATAATTATAAGTGAAACAAAATCCTCTGTCACTCTGAAGAAAACGACACCCAGAAGCACATTTTTTATAGGTCCAAACTTAAACAGCCAATTCGTGGAAGTCAGACTCTTTACTTCTACACTGGTCCGAAATACACATTTCCCAATGACATATGTGAAGTAAATGCTCTCTTCCATTTTCAAATGAGAGCCCAGCCACTGCTTCCATATATTTACAATGTAGTGTAGAACTGGTACTCAGCACACAGATGGAAGTGTGTAGAGTTTTAACTGCTAATTAGACATCAGGGGCCGGGATTTGAATCAACTTTAAAGCTGCAGAACAAAGTAGAATCACCACTTCACGCCAAATGTGTTACTGACTATGTATGCATCCTGAGAGCAAATGATATAAATGTAAACCTTCGAAGTTGGATTTATATAAGTTACACAGTGAGACACTTGGGATTTTTCAGTGAAGCTTCCAAACAGCTAAATAGTATTCTGTACACTTTTTTTATGTCCACTATGGCACACTGGAAGAACATTGCAATTCATGATGTTTCTGCTGTTTGGAAAATAAGAACACATCATTTTGGTGCTCATCATATTACAGGAATGCCTATAAATATTCATAAACTTAGCTAGTAACCTTCTCGAAGGCCAACATTTTGATCAGTCACTCATGGGTTTAATCAAACATTCTCAACATTTTGAGACTCTCTACAGGGAACACAAGCAATGATTAAGCGAGGTACAAATAACTGAAAAGGTCAAAAATACAAGGTTCCATTCACTATCTTAGACAAAATTGTTCATGTTAGCATCAAATATCAGAATAGGAACAAAACTAGTGAGTAAGAACCCTTATACCCATTTCTGATTATCAAATAATAGGAAATATCAATAGTTTATAATTTATTTATATCTGAAAATATCACTTTTAAAATTTACTTCCCCATTTTCAATTTTTTCCTTGTTGGAAAGTATAAAAATGCATACATATGTGATGTTACAACAGTAGGAGTATGCTTCTATTCACTGCTACAGTCAGAAGTAATGATGAAAATAAGTCACCAGCATAATACACTTACAGTCAGTATGAACGAGAATGACTGTCAACTACAGCAACACAAGGCAAACAGGACCCAGGCCATAAACTGCAACATATTTGCAAGCTGGAAGAAAACTGATGCTTTTACCTTCTAGTTCTTTTACACTTTATCTTGACTTTATCATGAGGTGAAGATTTGTACATTTGGTAGTTGACTGATACAAACCTTATGTTTCTAGCTTCATTTGATAGATTTAAAGTGTGAAAACAAAATTGAATTTCAGTATGCTGGACTGACGCATGACAGAGACCAGAGCGACTTTACTGTCAAAGAAGGATGCTTGCTCTCCTGCAGGAAGCCACTACTCATTGTTCTATAAGCATGCCTTATCCCGACCATTACTGAAGCATAATTAAACAAGCAGCAGATCTCCTTAGTTATAGGGCCTGTGTGCGTGTGTGTGTGTGTGTGTGTGTGTGTATGCAATGTGATTCTTCTGACCTAAACTTATGTATCATGACTTGGAGAAAGGCTGTTTCTTTTACTTACCTAACATCCTTCCCAGGACCAGAGATTTGACTGCAGTGAACTCAGTGCCTGAGGACAGGTACACTTGTCTCTCTATGCTCTCATCAATCTACAGAATGAGACACAAACATCCAAATGGGTTGAGGAAAGGACATTTTGTTGAGGAAAGGACAGTAAACAAGGAAAGAAACAGGAAAGAGATAAAGTGAGCAATTGTTAGTATTATTGTCCTAAAGATTTTTTTTAAAAAATAATTTTAAGATTTAGCTCTTTAAAAAAGTAAACATCCTTTTCTATATTTTACTCAGATACCACCTTGGCCCACCTGCTCTTCCTTTATATCTCTTTATTTTTCTGTACAATTTAAGGAATTCAAAATTGGTGAAGCCAACCAAAAGGTAAGTGTTATTTTTTGCCTCAGAATTTTAGTTAGCTTGGCATTTTCACTGGAGTCGTGCAGCTAGGAAATTTTCTTTTACATAGAGGCTGGAACATCGGTGCTTTTCTTCAAAAGCTGCTAGAGTGAATAATTCCACTTTCTCTGCCGTGACTCACATCCTTTTTAAAAATTGCCCTGATAACATAATCATAATTTTCTCTTCTAGAATTGTTGTTACATTTATACCCATCCTGTAAATAAATGGGTTTCTTTGTACTGGTAATTGGCTTATCAGTAGTACATGATGATAAATTGGACATCACCTCCCCACTGAGCAAAATAAAACCAGTAAAGAATGTCAGGCATTTTAAGTATGAGATAGTAATAATATTTTGGGTAGAATCTCATTTCTTAAAAAGCTACATTTGATGGTTTATAGTCTGTAGAAGTTCCTCTAAGATGTGTCTACGTTTATTCTACTTATGATCAAACTTCTGCTATAAATGCTCCATGCTGGGGATTCATAATCACAAAGTAGCTTCTGGCAAATTCTCTACATTACCTCCACAATGACCACTCCTTCCTCTCGGTTAATCTTTAAGTTGTGCAGTTGCCCATCAGCCATGCTTTTAAAATCAAAGTTAATAACATCAGGTTCTTGATATCTATTTAGTTTGTACCTTATTTGCAAACTTCCTAAAGCAGGAAAAGAAGTTATATTTTTAGTAAACATTGTATTTTAAAAACTACTCATAAAAACTCAGAATTCTTTTATTATTAATAATTTCCAGAGGAAAACTCACATTCATCTGGATGTACCCTCTAAACATAGCTTCTAAATGTCAGTTTCTATGTGAAATTACCAAATTTTCAACATCAAGACCAAGCATATTGCTCATAAGCAATCTCTTTTTGGAAAATGTTTAATTTTCATTCTTCAAAGTCCACTCTGAGGTTAAACACAGCCTTAATTTAAAAAAGAAAAATAAGACTATTTCTGAAATGCAAACTGTTATGAAATAATGCAATAAAATTCTCTTTCTATAATCTTGTATTTTAAAAGTATGTATCTCATAATCTAAAAGATAATTAACTAAATGGAAATATTATAAGAAGATGTAGTTTTACTAAATATGAGACATATTTGTAAATGATCATGGTCACAGACTTTCAGATGAAATTAGAGCAAAAGGAATGATTTTAAACCAAACCTACCATTAGGATTAATGTGACTCAATTGCTTGTAGAGATTTTAATTAATTTGTTTCACAGGACATCTTGCAATTTAACAAAGAAAATGTCCCAATACATAGATAAGCTGCAAGCTCAAACTGTATGACGAGTGTAAATATTTTCATTGAACAATAATATTTTTGTAGTGTTCAGTGTCCTTGGGTCATGTTTTATTTAGCTAAAATACATATTCACATATGTGGATGTTGGTTTTTCTTATGCATTGCATTTATTTCTAAAATTTTCATCTTAATCAAAAGATAGGAGAGAGAAAAATACTAGTAAGCACTTGTTGTAATAAGATTTCTGTAGCTAACACATTTCCTAATCCACATACTATTACCCTATATGGGAATACCAATATTTCCCATTACTATTTCATTCTCTATCATTTGAACCAACAGGTCATTTCATGGATACTTTCTTATGCATAATGTGGGTTCATTAACACACCCTAAATACTGCTTTACTTTGGTTGGAAGGAAATATTTATTGGATATGAGACATTTTATTTCAAGATGAACCACAAAATCAATACTGATATTCATATGAAATAACAAAGAGCTCCTAGTAATAATAAAATATAACAAATAAACTAACATACACATTGTGTATTCAAAATTACCACAATGATAAAAGAAATAAAGGAATCATAATTTTTTAAAATAATCCTTTTAGATTAAACTTTTGAAATAGTACTGAAGAAGCAAAATGAATAGAAGACATAGGCACATTCTTTATTCCTCTTTTAGTTTAAGAACAACCCGTATAGTTACTGCCTTCACGTGCTAATTCTCTCTCTCTCTCTCTCTCTCTCTCTGTCATCTGAGATGCACTCACCATTTCTGGCAATGATAACTGAAAGGTATTCTTTGTAAAAGGAGCTCATATAAAGCAGTAAGCTTGGTGTTCTTGTCGTTCGGAAGCTCAGTGTAATCATTTCTCTGCTCAGCTTCATATCACCATGAAATGAAGCAGCATGGGAGCTGGAGTTTTTGCTTAAGGAATAATTTTCTTGAAAATTGTAAATCACCGATGAGCCAGATCCAAAATATGCAGAAATCTCTGAAATGACATGCACATTTTAGTGAAAATTTTAACACAAGGACCTTGGTTTTATGATAATTCATTGATATCTTAATATTTTTAACTCACAAATTCCACAGATAGAAGAAACTGCCTCAAACTAGAATAACATGATAATTTACAGAGCTTTCATAATGGCCCTTGAAAGGGCTTTATGTTAGAATGACATATAATTAATTCATTAGTGTAACTTTACAATTGAAAGCTTAACGCTGTCTTAACTGAGTTCATACATATGCTGAGCTTCTTGTCCCTCACCTCCTTGAAAATCCGCTTTCTTATTTAAATTTTAACACCCATCTATTAGTTTGTAGATAGGATAAACTAGTCTTCCTGCAATAGGAAACAAGGAAGTATGAAGAATACTTTTTTCAAGAAGCAAAAACTTTCCTCTTTGTCTAAATACTTTCTCAAATTTCTTGTGTGCTACAAAAAGAAGACTAAATCTCCCTCTCTCTCCTTTTTTTGTTTTTGGTACTGGCAATTGAACTCAGGACCTTGCACTTGCCAGGCAGGCACTGTGCCACTGAGCTGTATCCCCAGCCCCAGAAGACTAAATATAACATTACTATCAGAGAGGGAAACAGACATTTGCTTAGCAGGGATCGACAAAAGGAACTATGAAATCCATCTTAAATCATTTAACAAAGGGATAGCATTGTGCCCATATGAGATTAGTATCTCAGTTTTACACAACACACACTCAAATATATATGTATGGAAACAAAGAGGATCATGGGAAAACTAACTTAATTTGAAACCCTGAACTTGCTTCTCTTCATAAATATAAAGGGCTAGTTGTAGAATAAGTGTTGTAGATGATGCTTACTGGGTCATGTTGATGTCCCTCATATTTCAAGATTTAAAAAAATTTATTATTTTTCAATAAAATAAAAAAGAATATAAAATTTTTATTATTTTTATTACCCATTATACAACTTTTATACACAACACAATATGAGCATGCAGAATAGCTTTTCTGATGGTACCTCGCAAGATAAGCTGAAAACTATGTCCAAAAATGAAGGTGTGTTCTTAGGAAGAAGTGCTCGTAATTTTATCATGAAACAAGAAAACTGCCCTAGCATGGCACCAGTAGTGTGTGATTGTTATCATAAGTCAATTTTGAAATTACAGCTTCTTCTTAATAAAAACTGATGACTTAAAAGGTATATTTTTGCCAAGTTTTTATTAACTGATCCCAATGCTTTCTTTGCAACTTAGGAGTTGCTTTGATTTGAAGCCAATTTGTTAGACTCCTTCAGGAAAAGGTTCAGTAGCCCAGGGACACTTACACAAAGTAAATAAATTCAAATTAATTGGATGTCAGTTTTCTATGATAAATTATGAAAAAATAACAAATACTTATACATCCAGACAACTCTGTCCTGAACACTTACTACTACACTCAGTTCTTTTCCTCTGTGACACAGATCAATGAGTAAGAGTAGCTGGAAAGCACTCTGCTATTTCTGTCCACCCGCAGATAATCATCACACCATAAAACAAAATAGCTGAGCATCTCCATTTTGTTGCATATTAATATTTAATGGAAAATATCAGTTTGACAAAAAATCTTAAGGCTTTCTGTCTTCCGTTACATTGATGAACACATTCATCAAAAATAACAATACATCCTTGAATGGCTTTAAAACAGAGAACTGCCAATGGGGAAGGTTGCTGACAGTTGTATTCTTTAAGAGCCTCAACATCAGACAGAAAAGATAAAGCAGATTGAACAGTTTACATTTGAAAACACCTAGAGGCGACTATTTGTGGATTTATCAGCAAGAGATGCTGGATTTCCAAAAATGGAGTCAAATATCTAAGGAATGAAATATGATTGGCATTCAATAGATGCTTAGCAGAAGAGGTTCAGACATGGAAGTGTTTTTGTCTCAGATGGCTATGCAGAAAAGAACTGCCAGGTGTTCTGTTCATTATAGATGAGCTTTCCTGTTGGGGTGGATCACGTGGCACTTACCATCGGAGCAGAATGGCCCTACGAAGGCAGAGGAAGAGCAGTCGCAGAAGAACCCACTGGGCTTTTCCTTGCACTTGCCTCCATTGCGACACAATTTCCCGTAGCTGCCGCAATGGCCTTGACAGCCTGGCTGTACCCCGGGAGTCACTGTGGCTCTTTCTTCCAGATCCAGGGCGACCCCGTTCAGTTGCAGTGACCGGATGCATCCCAGAAAGCCTCTCTGTCTCGTTGCCGTCCCACCTAAAAGGGAAATACTGCAAGTGCAAACAGGTTCCCAGGTGTTTTATTCAGGATAGAAATACCAAACAGACCTGAAGCCTTAGGCAGAAGGACAACAATCATGGTCTAACACAGACCATGTTAGACAAGCAATTCTTAATTTGGGGAAACAGAATTCAGAACTGACTACAGACTTCAGGAAGCTTCAACAGGGCCAGTTGTGATGGTGCTTGCTGTAATCCCAGTTCTCAGGGGGCTGAGACAAGAGGATTTATGCAAATTCAAGGTGAACCTGAGCTACAGAAAGAGATGCCATCTCTAAAACCACACACCACGCATAGAGTACATGTAAAGACACAACATGAATTCCATATGTTTTGGAAGTTGTTACAGATTTATTTTCTAAAAAAAAATTATTACACTTTAAATTGAGGACATTTTTGAATCTCTTTATTGCAAAGAACAAAGTAAAGGCCAGTTCTTATTTCTGTTTGAAAGAATGGCATGCAATTTGGTTACATGGTCTTCAAATTTTGTTGTTGTTGTGGTTGTCATTGTTGTTTAAGCACTTCTTGTGGGCTAAGTATGCCCTGACACCTGATGTGAGTCTGGTAGTTCTAGCTCTGAGAATCACAAAGGAATCCTTGAACTCCTCCATTTTAACAATGTATTGATAGGATTTTTGCTTGCTATCTGTCAAAGTAACAGTAATGGATATCCCAGTAGTTACTTTATTCTGGTATATTTCCCATTGTTATTTTTTAAAATGCTGCCTAGTGTACATGGCATGATGCTTGGCAAACACAAAATTGGGAAATAGTGTTGAAGAAACAGTGACGTACATCTACCAAATACATAACTGTGTATTTACCAAGTCATCCTCGAAGAGTCTAGAATATTTAGGTGAAATCAGATCTCTTTATCCTAAGGTAGAGGTCCTCAAACTTTAAGGAATATGAGAATGAAATAGAAGCCATCTTTAAAATAGAGACTCGAGGGCCAAATCCATGGTGCAAGAACAGAAATGTGAATTTCAAAGGCCAACAAGCCTCTCAGGTGATTCATGCACAAAAGATCACTTGACCTCCCTTTTGTAAGCACTGATAGGAACATAAGCCCTGATTGAAATTACATGTAAATTTGAGGGCTGGGGCATCCTAAATGAATACTCAGAAGTTGAGGTTGGAAAGGTAAAGGAGACCTAGCAAGGCTTATTAGAGGCAGAATATATACCAATATATGGGCAGTGTTTGAACCTGAAAAATACACTCTTTGATCAATGAGTTAAAGACTTAGTTCGGGGCTGGGGATTTAGCTCAGCAGCACAACGCCTGCCTGGCAAGTGCAAAGTCGTGAGTTCAATTCCTGGTACCGAAAAAAAAAAAAAATTAAAAAATAAATAAAACAAAGACTTTATTATTTGAAAATATAAAAAAGTAAATAAACTCTCCACCAAACTTGGCAAATAAGGAAGGAAAAGACTGATATCAAAGCAATTAGAAATGAAAAAAAAAAAAAAGCAAAATCACAATGGATACCACAGAAATCCACAGTATTATAAGCAACTAGTCTGAAAACTTGTATTCCAATAAACTGGAGAATCTAGAAGAGACAGATTCCTAGACAGATATGAATTACCAAAACTGAATAAATAAGCTATAAAAGCCATGAGCAATTCAAAAGCAGGCAGCGACATTTAGTAGTACAGAACTTACCAAATGAGAAAAGCCCAGGACCCAATTGATTCATTGCTGAATTTTTCCAGAAGTTCAGGAAAGAATTAATGACAGTACTTCTCAAATTCTTCCATGAAGTTGAAAGGGAAAGAACACTGCCAATGTCATCCCTTGAAGCTAGCATTATTCTGATGTCAAAGCCCAACAAGGACTTTTAGAAAAGAAAATTACAGACTAATTTCTGTATAAATGAACATAAATATAAAACTCCTTAAGAAGATACTTGTGAAAAGAATATAATGAATCAATAAAAAGATCATGTATTTTGGCCAAAAGAAAGATCATTCACCATCTCAGGGCTGCAAGTATATTCCAGAATGCATAAATAAATAAGTATAACATATTACATGAATAGAAGTAAGGGTAAAATCGTAGAATCATCTCAATAGATTAAAAAAAGCTTTTGACAAAATCCAACATCCACTCATGATTAAAAAACAAAAACCTTAATAAAAACTAGTATGGAAAAAATCTACCTTAGACTACCAAAAGCACTACGAATCTAATAACTAAGAAAAAACAAACACTCCCTTAAAAATCAGGAAGAAGACTCGTGTTCAATGTAGTACTCAAAATATTAGCCACAGCAATCAAGCAAGAGAAATAAATAAATGGGATCCAAATAGGAAAGGTAGACATCAGATATCCTTATTGATAAGGGTATTCTTGTTTGTTAAGATGGCATGATCTTTTATATAGAAGATCCAAAAAACTCCACCAAAAGACTTTTAAAATTAATAAACAAATTCAGCAAAGTGGCAGGATACAAAATAAACATAAAAAATCAATAGTATTTCTATATACCAAGTATGAACACACTGAGGAAATCAGAAAAACAATCTCATTAACATTAGCTTCAGAAAGAGTTAAAGATTTAAGAATTAAGATAGCTGAGTAAGTGAAAGACTTCCATACTGAAAACTATATTGTTCTATAAAAAGAGACGGAGGAAAACATTGGAAAATGGAAAGACATTCCTGGCCTTGGATAGACAGAACAAATACTGTCAAAATGGTATTATTATCAAAAATGATATATAGATCAAATGCAAGTTAATCAAAACACCATCAGCTTTTTTCACATAACTGAAAAATGACTTCTAAAAATGTTATAGGACCAGAGAGACACACAATAACCAAAGCAATCCTGAAAAACAAGGGTAAAACAGGAAGCATTATAATCCCTAGACTTCAAGTTACACTAAAAAGCTATATTGATAAAAAACACCATAATAGTGGCACAAAAACAGACATTAGACCAATAAAATAAAATACAGAGTGCAAAAACACCCCTAAGGACCTTAAGCCTGGCGATTATTCACAATTGGGAAAATAATAAACCCTGGAGAAAGGATAATCTTTTTGACAAATGGTGCTGGGAAAACTGGTTATCCACATGCAAAAGAATGAATCTTTGGTTTTTTGTTTTTTTTTTTTTTTTTTTTTGGTTTTTCTCCGGTACCGGGAACCGAACTCACGACCTTGCGCTTGCCAAGCAGGCGCTTTTGTCGCTGAGCTAAATCCCCAGCCCCGCAAAAGAATGAATCTTGATTCATTTTTCTCACCCTGTTTTAAAATAAAATAAAAATGGACTAAAGACATATTTATGAAAGCAGAAACACTGAATCTGCGGGAAGACAAAATTGGTATAACTCTTGAAGACGTGGGCATAGCCAAGAACATCTGAAAGATCCTTAGTGCACAATAAATAATACCAACTATCAATGCATGGGATTAAATCAAAAGGTCTCTTTACAGCAAAAAAAACACTAAATACTGCAAAGAGACAACCTACAGAATTTTTTAAATTTTTGCCAGGTACTCCTCAGCAGAAGACTAATCTCTGGAACACAGAAAGAACTCAAAAAGATTAGAGCCTCCCCATATTAAAGCCCCTATCAAAAAATAGGCAATTGAAATAAACAGACCCTTCTCAGAAGTACAAATGGCTAATAAATACATGAAAAAATTTCAGCATGTGTGGTCATGAGATAAAAGCAAATAAAAATCACACTGAGATTCCACCTTACTTCAGTAAGAATGGCTGTCCTCTAGGACTTAAAAACAAGTGCTGATGAGGTTGTGAATAAGGAGCCCTTCTATATTGTTGGTGGAGTATACATTAGTACAACAGCTATGGAAAGCAGCATGCAGAGTCCTCAAAAAACTAAAAATAGAAATTCCATCTGAGGCAGCTCTGTCTCCCTAGTATCTTCCCAAAAGAGTTAAAGACATAATATTAAAGTGATATATGTATGTCAATGTTGTATTAGTAGAAATCATAATAGGTAATAGAAGTGGCCTATATGCCCATTAAAATAAGAATGGATAAAGAAATGTGGCATATACACAGTGGAGTACTACTCAGCCATAAAGAAGGATACATGGGAGTCATTTGTAGAAAAATGCGTGGATTTTGATACCAAAATATTAAGTAAAGTGTCAGTCACAGAAGGTTAAATATGGGTCTTCCAAGTATGAGAGACCCAAAGTATAAGTGATTTTAAAAGCCAGGCTTTCTGTCTTTCACACCATGAGCTGTTTCCCCTCTGTCATACTGCCCTGCCTTGGAGCCAGCCAACTATGGACAGAAACCTCTACAAACTGTGAGCTAAAATAAACCCATTCTCTCTTTTCTTGAAGCCCTCAAAAAAAGGCATGTCAAGAAACAGGGAGGTGCACTCTGTAGAGATGGGAAGGGTAACTGAGAAAAGAAAAAGCGAGGGCAGGGGCGGGCGTAGAAACGACCAAGGTACAACATGTATACATATCACTGCCCACGTTGAACATAACCACAACGCACCACAAACACATACTAATTAAAATTGCTATGCAAAACGGCACCCGGGCTAGGTTATCTAAACAGTTCCACTGAGCGGTGATTAGATGGTCACGGGGCCTCTTAAAATCAGCTCCACTTTTGAATAGATGGCATCTCACCAGCAGAATCCTGTACATATTCTACATGTTCTCTTTTCTTGGAACATGTTCACTTTCACCTCCTCCAATTCCCTGAGCTGACCCCTAGTCTAGCCTCAGTTACTTAGGCTCTCTCTACCCTCAGAGACACAAAAGCTTTATTTAGTTGTATCTGGAAAGCTTGTCATACAACACTAAATGAACATGCATTGTCATCTACTGGGCTTTATGTTTCAGTAATTTGTTTTTCTCAGTGGCCCTTTATTAGAATACACATTTGGCAGAGGCCACTTCAGTCACTAATGTCTCTCCGGCACATAGAACATACATGATAAGGTGGAGACGTAGTACGCCAGCCTAGGAGGCG